TGGGTATTCCTCAATATAACCCCTAGATAATCCCTCAAGGGGGCCCAAAATAATCCCCTTATATACCCTTTGGGGTCCCTAGGGCCCCCCCCTTTTTGAGAAACTCCCATATGTGCTGTAGGATCTTGAGCTCGACAGCACAGATCGTCAGATCTGCAACTCTGAAGCCCTAAGCCCCTAAGCCCTCCCCTAAGGGTCCAAGGACCCAAATAATAGGGTTTTAGGGCCCAAATACTATAGTATCAATAGTATTTGGGCCCAAAAGCTCTATTATTTGGGTCCTTGGACCCTTAGCCCTCTTGAACCCAGACCATAACTTTAACGTCTTCGAAACCTTAATCCAAGGCTTGCCGAGTTGACAGAGTCCTTGGAAGAGTTGGCTTTGTCGAGGCATGGTGCTGGGTGCAGACTCCTCGTTTTGACTCGATAAAACTAGAGTTGCTTCTTCTGCTTCCAGACTACAAGGATCCCGCATGTGGGAACCCCTATGGCTCTAACCTCCTTGGGACTTAGCTTGGACCTTAGAACCTTAACCCTGTGGAATGCCCTAATACTCCTATTATAGGTCCCAAAGGTTACTATAACCCTTTGAAGGGGTCCTAAGTGCCACGTAGTAACCAGAGGGCATGCTTGCGGGGCATGTTCGGCGTATAGAGCAAGCTTCGCAAACAGAAGTGGTCACAGTTCCAGACGCTCCTATCGTATCAAGTTCCTTTTGGTATTCGGTGCGGTGTTTTGGTTAGTAGCTCATATGGAGAGCCCCAAAGAGTGCTAAACTGGACGGTCTAGAGAGGCTGCGGGTGTAGACAACTTCGCATCCCCTCAAGTCGTGGTTGGCAAGTTCAGCAGCTTCCGTTCGATGAATCTATATCCGGGGGTTCCCAAGGATAGCGGTTCTTTTTCGAGGCTTTCCTTACTAAGGCAGGTTACAGCATTTTGGAGTCTGTATTGGTGTCCCCTTATCTTGAGAAACTACCACATAGCTGAGCTGGAGGAAGTCCAACGGCTTCTTGTTAATTGCTTATAAGTTGTTTGTGCCAGAGCCCCCACCTGGACCCTGGATGTCCTACCTTTTTGGGGGGATATATACTCTGCAAAAATGTAGGACCCTAAAGCCCAGACCCGAAAACGGAAGGACACCCAGGGTCCAGGTATAGTCAGCAGCTTGTCTTGCTCCAATGCAGGTACGGCTGCTATGTCGTTAGAGCCGTGGTGGAACACCCAGAAGCTTGGCCAATCCTAGCTTGACACTTTAGATATAATAGCAATAGGGGTATTAATAGCAATAACTGTACTGGTAGTCATAGTAGTAATAATAGACGGGTTTCAGGTGTTGCGGGCAAACACCAAACTGTAGGCGAACACTTCACTGTGTAGGTTAATTGCGATTCATTCCAAGGATACAGATCGATCCGTAGCAGTCAATCGGCTGCGAAGCTGTGCTGGCGAGCTCAGGACGCCACGTGTGAGCTACTGAATATTTGCCTCATTGTGGGACCCTTAAGAGTGGTGCCTCCTGTAGTCTTGCATAGTCGATAGTATAGTCCCTGAACCCATGTCCATTGAATTATGTAGGAAATATTGATTGTAGCTGGGGACGCAAGAGATGTGTATGCGGATTACGAAGAATTTCAGGGGATTCCTATTAACTCCTAGGCTCTAAACCCCAAACCCTAGGCCGGTGGGTAAGAGACAGGAACCTTGCCCTATAAAGAGGTGTAGCTTTGGAATTCCTGCATAGGACATTTCATTCTGAGATCTCGCTAGGCAAAGGCTTAGAGTGCGACCATGCCTCCTAGCAGCCGCACTAGGTGCCTGGGTCCGAAAAATAATGAAATACGGAACGGCAAGAGTAATAATTATAGTAAAGCAAGTTATAGTAACAAGGTTAATTAGTAGTTACAGTTATAGCAGTATTCATGTTAATACTCATGTTTTTGAACCCGAGACCCTGAACCCCAGTGCGCGCGCAGGAGAACGAAGCATGGCCACTTGAAGGCAAGTTGGCACGATAAATCTTGGCCATCAGGTGTTTGTTCATGAGGTTGATAGAGTTTGTGGGCTTAGGGGGTTTATAGGGGTTTAGGGTTTAAGGTTCATAGAGTTTGTAACAAGTAGTTTGTAGGCTCAGGGGGTGTATAATTAGGGGTTGAGTACGGGAATAAAAAACCGATGCCCAAATTTGCCTGTTGCTGTTCGCCTGTCAGTGGTGCAAAATGCCCGAGCCTGACATCCCCACGTAGCTGTAGCCCTCCATGCTGCATTGCCTTGGTGAAAGTCCTCGGAAAAGGAACCAGGTTGGATGGAAGCTCAACTGAGCTTGTGAGAGGCACCAGTCCATAGCGCTAGATTTGACCAGAACGCGGAGAACAGCATCCGTAATCCATAAAACGTAAACACTCAATAGGAGTTTCCATTTTGTTTTCCATTATCCCTGTATAACCCCTATGTGTCCCTAGAAAAGCCCGATGTAAACCGTATATAACCGCGGTATTATGATACCGCCTTCTTTAGCCCAAACCTTTCCCTTGTCAATTCTTTAACAGGATCCCCTGCCCACTCAAAGAGACTGGCTACCCAGGACAGCATTTGATGGCCGATTTGGGCATGACCATGCATCACTTTCAAGGACGACGATGAGCCCAGAATTGAGATCTTTTGCTGTCTCTTGACTGGTCAGGCGGTTGTGTACAGGCCTGAGGAAGCAGAGGTAACATAGGGTTTTAGAGCAGATGCTCTTCTATCCTCATTTCACATTCCCTGACTTATCAGTGAGGCTTCTGCAGTAAGTGCCAAACTATTGGGTTCGATGCAAATCCCCAGCACATAGAGGCTTAAGTGATCGCCTAGCTTGATCCATGGGATCGAGGGGTTCATATTCCTGGGCTCGCATGGTTGTTGAAAATCGTTGAAAACATCTTGCCCCCCCAGTGTTATTATACGAGGCGCCTTTCTGGGCGGTACGATCCGAAAGCGGCCGGAATTCAACGACGTGCCTCCAGCGCAGGGGGCGTATATTTCTTTCTCTCCATCTCATGCAGTCTTTCCAATATTCGGGTCACCTGCATCGCATCTTCAATAAAACGCTTCTGGAATCTTTGGGCGAGTGATTGTGTGGCTCACTGAGGTTCCAAGCAAGCTGCATCGGGAGACTTCCCCTGTAAGTCTTTGTAAATAGATCTGTCTCCGTGGTTGATCCTTGCAAGCTAAGCCTGCCTCCCTTTGTTGCCGTGGCGGTCCAAGCAACTTGCACATCTAGACACCCTAAATCATGTGGGCACTTGGCCCACCATTTTGCCCGGATCAGCCACACAATTCCATCCGCCAATGAGACTTCAATTGGCGGTGGCCTGGCATGGCACTGTCCATGTTCGGCCATACCTTCCTCGGGCTGTTGACACGCAGCAGTCCCCGCATGCCGCCACAGCCTTACCCAGAGATGGCACAGAGCCCTGTCGCAAATCGTTGGGGGCTCTTGCCAGTAAGCTGTGAATAGCTTAAGGCTTAAAGGGGGGATACGAAGATGCTTGCTGCAATCATAGCCACGAACATGACGTACTAACAAGTTCATACGATCATTTGCTGCCTGCGTGTACTATTTGTTGATGAGCGTCTTGATGGTTGCAGTCAGCGTTGTCATGACGGTTGCCGACTCGTCTTTTTTCGTGGATATTCGGTGGCGGTTATAAGTTTCTATGAGTACTCATGATGATGTTGGTGAGGATGATGATGAAGAGGAGGAGGCGGCGGCGACGGCGACGTTGCGTCGGTGCTGATAATGCGTACATACTGTTGCCATGAACTACGTGGGTGACAAGATAGTTTCATTTCCACCCGTCCGCTGCTGAGTTGTCATGATCGCAGTCGTCCCAGTTATGCTGCATCCATGGTTTGTGT